CGCCGCACCAGCGCAACCGCCGCCACCACCGCCTCGGCGCGCGACGACGCCGTCGACGGCTCGACCAACAACAGCAGCTCCAGGAGGTCCGACAGCTTCCACCACGACAGCTCGAACCGCTCCGCTGCAGAGGCCCTCGCTTCCCTCTACCACTCGCCCGCGTCCGCATCCGCTGCCTCGCCCAGAAACACTTCCACAAAGGTGCCCACGCTCTTTTTTGAGCCAGAAAACGAGCTCTTCCGCGACCACCCCTCCCCTCCGGTCGCCCAACAGCAGCAGCAGCATCAGCACGCCTCGCGTGCGCCATCCAGGCCGAGCTCGGCGGTGGGCACGCCAAACGCCCGGTCCCCTCTGGACCCAGCCCAGCCGCAGGCGAAGCATCACCCGCGCACGCCCCAGCACGGCCGCCCCGCTCACGCCCCCAACGTCACCATGCCGCACACCGACTCGCAGCAAGACGGCTCCACCTCTCGGCCAGGCGCTGCCGATGACGGCTCCTTTTCCGCCGCCGCCTCGTTCAGCACTCCCTTCAAGCCGGGCGAGCGCCTTCGACCCGGTCTGGAAAGGCACGAGAGCGCGGCGGCGCAGGCATCGCCGGTGAAGCGAGCGGGCGGGCCCAAGCAGATGCTCTGGAAGCCACTCACCGTCATGTTGCAGTACGCGTCGAGCCAGCCGCGCTTCCTCGAGTACCTCGTCGAGAGGGTGACGGTGCTCGACGCGCCTCTGCGCGCCATCGACGTGACCGACCTGCTCGATCAGAGCCTGTGCGAGGGCCTCGAGCACCGCCTGCGGCCCTACATCGCCTGGCACCCGCACATGCCCTCTCTCACCGCCACCTACCTCGAGCACGTGCGCCAGCGCAACAAGGCGACGTCGCTGCTGCTCGCCACCCTCGCCCTGCTGGCGGTGCGCCACCAGCTGCCCCTGTCCATGGATCTGCCGCGCAAGCTGTCGGCGTCCATCGACCGGCTCGGCACACAGGTCCTCGTCTCGACGCCGCGCACCATCCACACGGCCATGGCCTTTGAGCTGCTCATCGCCCACGAGCCCGCCCTGGTTGGCGTCACGGCCGTCGGCAGCGCCCGCGACCAGGCGTCGCGCGGCGGCGATCTCGGCGGCGAAAACCTGCTCGCCGTCGCCCTCAACCTGTGCCGTGACCTTGGCATCGACAAGTCGCTCGATCGGTATGCGGCAGCGATCCAGGACCTGCCGCCGGCCCAGCCCGGGTCGGTGCAGGACCCGTCGCACCCTGCGCAGGGCCGCGCGTCTGGTGGCCCTGCGCCCGTCGACGAGGCCCGACGCGCCGAGCTGCAGCAGCTGCTCGGCGCCGCGTCGCTCTGGCTCAACCTGCGCATGTGGGAGGGCCACTACGTCTTCCTCAAGCCCGTCATCCGCCCCGTGCGCGACTTGAGCAGGCTGGCCGAGCAGGCCAAGATCCTCATCTGCCGCGACGAGCTCGGCCGGAAGATCCCTACGCCGTCCAGGACCGGCGCCGGCGCCGGCATGGCGCAGCAGCAGCCCGCATCTTCGTCTCAGGGGCCGTCGACCGACAACGACCAGCTGCTGAGGGCGGCGGGGCGCACGATCCTTGCGCACCGGATGCAGAACATGGCCATGTTCCACGAGACGATCCTCGATATAGGAGAGGCGCTGGTTATGCGCAGCGACCCCGACGGCGGCGGCGGCCAGCCGGACTCTGAAGATCGCGACGGTCGGAGCGGCAGCGCAGCGCGGCGTGCCGACGACCCAGCCGAACCCGCAGGCGACACTGGCGGCGGTGGCGACGTGGACGACGACGGCGCCGAGGCGGATCCGACCGACGAGCCGCCGCGCGGGTGGGAAGACCGTGCGACGCGTACGGCGGTCCAGATCCGCATCAAGAATCTCATCCTCGCCGCCTACCAGAAGCGCGTCGAGATCGAGGAGAAGAGGCACCTCGTCATGGCCCCCTTTGCCGTCGACGGCCTTGGGTCGCTGCCCGAGGCCTGGTCGCACTTTGAGGCGCTGGCGCTCGTCTCGATGCTGGGCGTGTTTGCCAGCTGCGCCATGCACACGGGCCGCATCCAGTACGCCTTTTCGCCGCATGACTTTATCGATGCGCTGGTCAACGACCGCGCCTTCAACGAGCACATTGCCGAGATTGGCAAGAAGCGCCAGGCCATCTCGACCAGGGTCGTGGCGAGCTTCGGCATGTTTGACCGGCCCATTGTCGTCGGCGAGGCGCGCGGCTTCCACTTTGGCGGCCAGCACGCCGAGGGCACCGTCGAGGCGACGGGCGTGCCCATGTTTCTCACGTCGGCGCTCGTCGTCGACATGTGCAAGTCGTTTGTCGAGGCGACGGCGTGCGTCATCATGGCCTACTCAACGCTCCTCGACACCGTCGACACGCAGGTGCTGCTGATGATGCAGGCCGTCCAGCGTCTGTCGTCGTTTGACCAGAACCGCTTCTACGCGCCCGGTCCGGCGGCGGCGGCGGCCAACGGCAACGGCAACGGCAACGGCGACCAAGCCGAACAGGCGGCCGGAAAGCGCTCCGGGACCAGCGAGGGCGCCGGCGACGACGAGAACGACGCGGGGCCGCCGATCGAGGGGCAGCAGCTCCGACCACGGGCCGAGCGAGCTGCTGAGCGTCTGCCGCATCGCCGCGCAGTACGTGACGCAGATGATTGAGATGATGCAGAAGTGGGCGCTGGCCAATACGCTCCACCGCCGGGGGCGGCAACCGTTGTGGAGTCGCATGCCGCCACAAGGCCCCCCCATCGTCCAGCGCCGCCCAAGGTCAGGACTTTAAGGCAGACAGGGGAGTGGGGGAGTGCCCGAGCGAGGCGCTCCCCGCAGCCTGGTCGCATGCCGATCCTGCGTTTGGTCGCGCAGCAGCAACACCAGCCGCACCAGCAGCCGC